GCAAAGGATTATTTAGGTTGAAGGATTATTCAATTTAAAAAGTCACATAATTGGGTCAGAGATATTTGAAATTCTTTTTGTAACACAGAGTTATATAATATTAATATTACAAATTTTCTCAGTTTTAATAAATATTGAAATAATCCTACATAAACTTTAAAAACTCCTATTTAGAAATATTAAGTTTAATTTGCATAGAATCAACTAAATAACAAAAGATTCATTTATTATTCTTATATATAATTTAATATATAAATTTAAAAAATAAATTACTTTCTTTAATCGCATTTGAAATTAATTTTGTACTGATAATTTTGCTAGTATACATATGATCTAAATGATTTGGTGAGTTTATTGGTAATATTTTAATAACTTTATCAGTAGCTAAGAATTGTTTTCTAATTTCATTTTTATCTTTAAGCCAATTTTCAATTTTAAAATAAACATCCCATGCACTAGGTTGTTTTTGTGAATTAGAATGCATACATTTCTTAGCTAATTCAACATAGTATTCAGGAGTTCTAGAAGCAAACTCGAGTTGTTCTCCTTTGATAATCTTTAAAGCAAGTTTAAGATCAAATTTCTGCCTATCAAAAGGCTTTTTTCTAGTTAATATTTTAGCTATAATAATATCCAAGCTATAAATATCAGCTGCTTGTGTAAATAGTTGTTCTCTTAATAAAACTTCAGGAGCAACATAAGGCATAACCTTATAAATGAACTTACAAGCTCTTTTAAATTCATATCCTTCAAGAAAAATTTCACTCTATTTGTTAAATCTTTTACTACTAAAGAATCTTCCTTTTTTTTGAATATGAGCTTCTTAAAACTCTTAATATTAAGATAATAGCTAAAAAAGAATAGTATGAAAGTTGTAAAAATAAAGTACTAATTTCAAAATTACTAAAATTTATAATAATGTCAAAATTTCTTGGTAAAAAAGAGAACAATAAACTTAAAAAAAAAATTGAAATACTTAAAATTCCAAAACACATTATAAAATGAACAGATTATCTCATAAGCAGTATGTTAAATTTTTATATTTAAAATAAGCAAGCAATTCAATAATATTATATATTTAGTAAGCACTCAAGTAAATTAATTTTATATGAATTTAATTTACAGTGATGAGAATTGCCCTAACTTGTTTGATACACAAAGCCAATTTGATACAAATTTGGTGACAAAACTTATATAATTTTTGTATATCAAAAACATATTCACAACTTGCCTTAAAATATATGAATATTAGTTGAATACGAAGTTAAAACTTACTAAATTTTTAGGTAATATTCCAAAAGGATGTTAGATATTATTGATAGTATTGCAGATATAGTCAAACCTTTCCTACCTTTTGTTAGCTTTGTAATAAATATTATAAGTTCAGTTAAAGATGCTTATCAGAAGGCTCAATATAACAAGAAAACATGTACTGTATTAGTCATTTATGTTAAGACTGCACAACTATCAATACAAGCTCTTATTCACTAGAAGGAACAGAATTTTCATTAATTTTGTAAACAATCTTATTACGATACTTTCAAACGATTTGTAGAAGTTTTAAAAGATATTAATAACTTTTTTAATAAAATATCTCAGCTATCAAGCTTCGTATCTTACATTATGTCTAGCTCTATCTATGACCAACTCAAATCTATATTATACAATTTTGATAGTATTTCCAATGAATTAAATTTGGCTATTTGTATTGCCATTCATGTACAAACAGAAAATAACATTAAAGCTTTCAAGGAAGATCTTAAACAAATATCTCATGTAGGCTAATATAATTTTACTATTATTTTTATTATTATTATATTAACAATGTGTTAATTCATTTTTGTACTAAATAGATATTAGGAAGTATTAATAGTAATATAAAAAATACGGGCGAAGATATAACAACTATACTTCAACTAACAATTGAAAATACAAAATCACTTAAACGACTTGAGCAAAATATCGAAATAGCTAATTTACTTAAACAGCTTGAGCAAAATAAATTCTGAACAAATGATTTTCAAATAAAGAAAATTTCTTTTGAAGAGCTAGAAAACCTAGTTAGAAAGAGTTATATACATGGTAACAAGACTAGTAAAAAACTTTATAAAGGAATATATGTCACTTGTAGGACTGCTGTTGTTTCCAAAATACATAGTGTACTAGTGCAGTTTGCAATACTAGAAAAATTAAAACTTGGCCAGAATATCATTAAGTTTTATGGTTTTTCTAAAATTAATGGATTTGATTGTTTAGTTTATAAGTGAGCAGAGAATGGTAATTTGAAAGAAATTTATGAAGCTAATAGTATTAATTGGACTACCAAAATTAGCATTGTGACTGATATTTGTCATGAGCTGATTTACTTGGATGCATAAAAATTCTTCACCATGACATCTGATGTGAAAATATTTTAGTAATTATCATTATGCATATCTTGATTATATAATATTAACTTGAAACAATTTCTTATATTATGATTTAAACAGATAATGAATAAATAGGAGCCAAAAATTACAAATTTTTAATATGCTAGAGAATTAAATAGCGCTAGCTCTAACCTTACTAATATAACAGATATAGTTCATTAGCTAGCTCCTGAGAAAATACGTCAATACTATGAATTACCAAATCTAAGGAAACTAAAATATATCCCATACACAACCGTATATGAAATATTTAGGTTAGTAGCTATAATATCTAGTTTTTGTTATAACAAAGTATTGACACTATTATTTGCATATAGTTTTGAATACTTCTTTGAGAACTTGGATCTCAAAAAATTCTTTTTGAAAAAATGGAAACAGCAGAAATAGCTAGATATGTTATGGATGGGTAAAGAGAACATTTAAATTTTAGTACATCCCGAATCGAGCAAGAATATGCAAATATTATCAAAGAAGGTAATCAAATATTTTTATTCATCCAATTGTTATTTTGTTAAAAGGCTAATTTTTATCAAATTTTATTCTAATTATTAGCATGGCAATACTATATAGATTTATATATAGATATAGAAAAATTGTTTAAAAAGCTTTCTATAATAAATGAAGAATTTTGTATATGATTCTACTCTCCTGGCACCTACTTCAAAAAACATGGTATCAACATCTCTACTTTGAATATTTCAGATAGCTCTGAGGATATCAATATTTCAAAGACTATAAAAAGTGAAAATGTCAATAACATGGATAGTGCTTTAATCCTTGATAACTCTCCTATAAAAACTATGATCTCACTTGAAGATAGAATTAAGGCTTATAAAGAAAAAAAAGATGATGTGGCTTTGAAATGCTTTAATTATTATGCTGAATTGATACAACATTAGAAAGGGGTTTATCTATGAGAAGGGTATTTTTTAGATAACAATAAACTAGAGGTAACAGAATTATTTTATCAAGTAGCTGACGAAGGTAATGCAGAAGCTCAACTTCGTTATGCTTCTGCATTAGTAGATAAGGACATTAATATAATAGATTAAATAAACTTTAGAATATATTTAGAGAAAGCAGCTGATAACCAAAATCCTACTGCAATATATAATTTAGGAAAAATGTATCTTGAAGGTAAACATAGTTTTCAAAAAGATAAGACTAAAGCTAAATGATGTTTGCAAAAAGCAGCATTGAAAGGTCAAGAAAAAGCAATCAAAATATTAAAAAATTAAAAATTAATATTTATGAACAATTATAATATACTAAATATTTTAGTTAACTCTCATATGTCAGATAACCAACTCTAACTTCAATTCAGGCTAAACAACTAAAAAATCTAGTTTATGTCTTTTTAATTACATATGTCATATTTATATAATGACTGATACAACTAATTTGTTTATATTATATAGCAACATTATAATTTAGGTAGCTTATCTTATGGTCATCTATTCAATGCCATTAAACTATCAAAACCTATTACAACATAGTATTTTTCTAAATTGTTTTTGTTCTGTTTTGTATAAAAGAAAATCTTTAGGAAATACTAGCGTAAAAGCAAATAAATAATATCTTAACTTCAATCTTGTAATGAACTTATAAATTGGCAATTGCTTATTATTATTGTTATTAGATTAATGATATAATCTAAGACTATATAATTATAATTACAGTAATCGTTATTACAAAACTGTTAATATAAGGATGTCAATTTGTAGTTATGTAATTGAAAAAATATTTAGATAATAAGCATAATGATAATACATCTAGTAAAAGTGTATTTTTTAATTTTATTAACGAAAATATAAAATATTATGACTAGAATCTAACTTATTAGTAATTCAAAAAGTTTAAATCATTGTATTTAGAAATAAAATTATCTTTTTTTATACCTTTTACTAAAGCTTTTAATCATATACATTTTATCTTTCAAGTTAAATAAGATATTTAGTTTTTAAAGTTTATAGCTTTCGTTAATATGAAAGACATTTTTAGTAATATAATCTATCTTCTAAAATTTTAGATATGTTTGTTAATTATAAAAATTTTTTTGTCTACTGTATTCAAATAAAGCTTTATGGAATAATATATTTTAATAATGATAAATATAAATCTCAGATCCAATTACGATTTTTTTTTTATTACAGGCATCTGTCACAAAAATATCTTCAATTAATTTTTTCAGTCTACACACGAGAAATTTCTATTCCATTTATAATGCTTCAAAATTCTTTTTTCAAGTTGATTAGTATCTCTACTACTAAATATATATAAAAACCTTTGATAGTTAACAACAAACCATGATTTTTACCTGCAGCTATATCTGCAATCTTGGATTTAGTATCATATTTTATAAAAATTTTTTGTTTAAGTTTGTCTTTATTCTTTGCAGAAAATTCTAGTACCCCATTCTCATACTTGAAATAAATAAAATATTTTGTTAGAAAATTGCTATTCAAAAATTATTATAATAAATAAATATCTTTTCATATCTTAAATGTACTACTAATATATAACTGATCATCTCTTGATAAAGCTAATGTTATGTTTCTGCTACATGTGACTTTTATAATAGTTATATTATTAATACCTTGAGCTAGTGACTCTATGGACCTGACTGAACTGAACTTTTGAACAAGTTCGAGTTCAGTTCAGTTTTCGAACCAAACCTAGACTCGAACTTTTTTAAAACCAATATTTGGTCTGAGTTTGATTCCAAACTTTTTAGGCAGATCTGGTTTGGTCTGAAGTTCAGTTTGAAAGTTCATGAACATGTTCGAGTTTAAATATCTATTATATGAAATTTACTTATTCCTTATGCTGTCTAGTAATTTCAGAAAAATTTATTTATAAGATGGTATAAAAGATAATTCAATAAAACTTATCTAATTAATTGCATGAATTAAATTACTAGTGAGTAAAGAAATATTTTGTAAATTGAAATTTATAATATATAATTAAATTTCTCTAAATAGATTATATAAATTAAATT